AGTACAGATAGTTATAGATTAAGAGAAATAAAGAAAAATAAGCCACGTAAAAATGAAAAATTCACAGAGAGTCTGGATTATGTACATTGTGTTTTCTTTAAAATTTTTGACTGTGAAGGAGCTAAGTACAAAGAGACATTTTATTATATGGGCTGCTAAGCTGAACCTGCACATATGTTCTAAAGGTATCTTGACTTCAAAATTTGGATCTAAGGATATGATGCTTTGGAGAGGGTCTTCTTTTGTTTCCACAGAGGATGTGACCCTATGGATTGCATCTATCCCGGTATGGTATGATAGACCACGCCCTCCTGAAAGGTTGCTGTGAACACCCTCAAAAAATTACTTCACTCAACTGCCAACCGAGATGAACCTGACACACAGGTTACACCCTAAATGATCTGATTAACAGTGCCCCCATTCAGCAGGAAGCAGTTTGGAGAGAAAAAACTACGCCCATGTTCCCAAATATTGTTTATAAATGTTCTTTTACATTTAAAGGGGGATATGATATAGATATGAATAATTTGCATTGGTATGGATTTTAAGGTCAATTTTGTTATATGTATATGTATTTTTGAACTTGATTAAGGTATTGTGATTATGTAGTTCACTTAAAATGTAATGTATAATTAGGAAATATAGGTTGTTAATGGATAATCATTGCTAATAGTTAAGCTTGTAGTCATGTTAGTTAGATTTTCTAGATATATAGAGATATATTTCAATTAGATAGGCATTCTTCATATCTTTCAAAGACTGCAGAATATGGCATTTAAAATATTTTAATAACTTAGGACTTTTCATGACAAGGAGACACGTCTGCTCCTGGCAGCACCAGCTACTTCAAGAGGAAGATGGGCATCGAAGAGGATCCTTATGGAGTTGGATAGTCATTTGGGCAAGAAACTGCTCTTGCCTGGACTGTTGCATAAACTGGACACAGAGAACCCTCAGAGAGAGGACTGCTGAACTTGCCTAAAGGTGAGATGGTCTTTCGGGGTTCCTGATTCATGAAAGAGTCTACAAGACATTCTACAGAACACAGCAGAAAGTGACTGAACTGTCTTTAAAATTTCCTGCTTCATGGAAATGTATCTGGATACCATGGGCCTGTAGGCCGAAGATGGATGCCCCAACGGTACAGAGGAACTTTGGGTGACTGTCCAGGCAGCGAGATGTCTCTGTCATTTCTAGAGTTTTCTTATTTCTTGTTTACTTAGATAATATTATATCCTTCTGGAGTCTTTGATGGAGTTGAAGAATAAATAGTTATAGTTTTCCTTAGTTATGATAAGAGATAAAATAGATATAAATATTGTAACTGTAATTCTTACTTGATAACTGTTTTGTTATATGTAATTTTACTATGCTAAAGTTAAAGCCTTTCTTTTTTGTTTAAACGGAAAAAGGGGAAATGATGTGGGAATGATTTCTTACTAATAAAGAAACTGCCTTGGCCCATTTTATTGGATAGAAAATTAGGTAGGCGGAGTATACAGAAGAGAATTCTGGGAGAAAGAAGGTTAGAGGAGGAGTCGCCATGATGCTCCCACTCCAGACAGATGCAGGTTAAGATCCTCTCTGGTAAGCCAGCTCATGGGCTACACAGAATATTAGAAATGGGTTAGAACAATATGTAAGAGCTAGCCAATAAGAAACTGGACCTAGCCGGGCCAGGCAGTGTTTGAAAGAATACAGTTTCCGTGTAATTATTTCTGGGTATAAGCTAGCCATGCGGGCGGCCGGGTGCCGGGGACGCAGCCCGCCGCTCATATTTCAACAACAGAGTAAAAATCTAACATTGACCTCTGACCCCCACGTGTGCACATATGTGGGTATGTACCTGTACACACATGAACATGTACATATATACACTACATACGCCTACAGAGATAAACAGGTTAAAAAATAATGAGAGTGAGCCAGTCATAGTGGTGCGTGCCTTAGTTCTAGCACTTGGGAGGCAGAGGCAGAGGCAGAGGCAGGCTGGTAGCTGCAAGTTCTAGGTCAGGCTGATCTACAGAGTGAGTTCCAGGACAGCCAGGGCTATGTAGAGAGATCCTGTTTCAAGAAACAAACAAACAGGGGCTGGAGAGATGGCTCAGCGGTTAAGAGCATTGCCTGCTCTTCCAGAGGTCCTGAGTTCAATTCCCAGCAACCACATGGTGGCTCACAACCATCTGTAATGAGGTCTGGTGCCCTCTTCTGGCCTGCAGGCATACACACAGACAGAACATTGTATACATAACAAATAAATAAATAAATTAAAGAAACAAACAAATAGAATACTAAGAGATTAATTATGACAGCATACTATGATGGACGTGGTGAATATATACAGTCTTTTTTCTTGAGTCAGGGTCTTGCTAGGCACCACTGACTGGCCTGGAACTCACTATGTAGACAAGGCTGGTCTCAAGTTTACAGAGATCCGTCTGCCTCTGCCTTCCTAGTGCTGGGATTAAAGGAGTGTGCCACCCATGCCTGGCCTTATAGTCTTTTTCAGAGCCTCATTTTACCATTCTTTCTATGACGTGAGATGATCCAGTGCCTACCTGATGAGAGAAAATATGACATAGGGTTAGGTTACCATTGATCTGATGATATGTCCGAAGGAAAATCGTTTGCCATCGCCATGACTCTTGAACTTCGTGGCAATTAGTAAGTAAAATAATGCCTGAATGAACACAAGCAATATGATACCAGCACAGCCTATCCGCTAACTACGACAACTCCACCTGACTTTTCACTGGAGGGTGCTGCGCAGCAGGGATGGTTCATTTCCTGGGTGGAACAGGGCAAGAAGCTTTGATATTTTATCACGGCACCAAGAATGTCATTCTTGTTAGCTACTTTTCCTATGGCTGAAGTAAACAAGGTGGTGGGGGTGGGACAGTTCATTAGCTCAGAGGTTTTCGTCCATCATGGCCAACTCTGTTGTCTCTGGGTCCTTAGAGAGAGGTCGCCATGGTGACGGGAGCACAGGAAAGGAAGGCTGCTCACTTCCTAGGAAGCAGAGAGCAAAAAAGCAAGCAAACAGGCACTATCAGGTCAAGACAGATCTCTGAGGACACAGCCCTAGTGACATACTTCTCCCAACGACGTTCTGTCTCCCACTTTTCACAACCTTCCAATAATGGTATCAGATTATGTCTGTCAAAGACAGCAATCTGTCAATTAGATCAGAACCTTCAGAATCCAATCATTCCTCAAAGCCTGTCCGTCAATACACAGACCTAGGGGGACACTTCATATTCAAAGGTGAACGATACATTATAAAGTTATGCATTTTCTGAGGATGGCTCACACCTGCAATCCTGCTACTCAGGAACTGTGGTGGAGAGATTACCATAATTCGGAGGCCAGCCTGGGGTACGGAGTGAGACTCTGCCTCAAAAACAATTGCACAAACAATCCCCCCAAAATAAACTGAATATTTTGGGCCATGTTTGGCCACAGGGAGTTAAAAACAGGGCAGGTGAACCGGGCTAAAAAGGCCCTCCTGTGCCCTCTTAAGCACCGTGGCGAAGGGGAGCTGAAGATAAAGGGACCGGCTGTACATACGTAAACATGCTCCGAGACCAAAGGGGGCCGTGCTGGCAAATGCAATGCCCCCTCCAGGGACGCTGTATCTAATGACTGGTCCTTGGAGGAATACAGAAGCTCACCTCTGCCTCAATTCAAGCTAACTTTACAGGACCGTTGCAGCTCCTCAGCGCCTATGCCTATGGATTACACTGATTGCAACGGCAACATCATTCATTTTCCCCTCTCTCTAGCCCTTTCACTCCCCATGAAAGTCTGTCCCAATAAGCCGTTTTGTATCCATCCAAGTGGGCACAGGTAGATTCGAGGCTACCAGTTTATACGCAGAGTCCCTTGCAGTCAGACATAGTGTGATCCAGCAGAGGGCGGGATGGTCCCGGATTAGTGTCCACCACCGGAAGCTGCCTCTCCACACACCACTGGACTTTGGTGCCGGCACCAGGTTTCAATATCCGCAAACTCTGCTCAAACGTGTCTGGGCTCCAGGCTCCACCTCTGGTCCGCTTTGCTCCCCTGCACAAACAAAAGTTCAGAATAGATCTTTTCATGGACAAATGTGATCCCAGCCGTGTCACCACCGACAAACCTGCAGCAGCTTCTCATTGCCCATAAAGAAAGCCTACGTCTTATCCTTGAAGTGGCCGGCCCTGCTCTACCTTGTTCCTTCCGACCTGTCGTTGTTTCGCTCCCCTTCTTCACTACCCTCTGGCTGGTCAGTCTTCGGTTTGACGATTCCGTCTACCTCCTTCCTACCACAGAGCCTTTCAGAGGTTCTCCCTGCCGCCTGGAATCTCCACCCTCTTCAGGTTTTCAGGTTTGATTATTTGACTAGTCTTAGTTTAATGTGACTTCTTTAGGGCAGCCTGTCCCTTACTTGGAAGCAGACTAAGGTAGAAAAGGTCAATTCTGAGACAATGATTTATTGATTCATTTAGTGATTTGCTTAAAGCGCTGCTTGGACAGCCTAGTGCATGACTTCACTCGCTACCGGGAACAGAATGACCTGGAGAAACAGCTGAAAGCATGGGCCGTTGCCTGGAGCCATCTGCTGAATGCCATGTGCGCTCCTGCAAAATCTTGCTTGTTTGACTACCCCACCTCGTGGTTTTAGAGTAGAAAATGAGAGTACAAACTAGATCTGGTATCGAAGCCTTTCAAGAGCTTTGGCCCACCACTGACAGCTACTCTCTTCTATATTGGTGTTGGGATGCTTATTCCAGGAAGGTTCCCGCCACAGCTCCTATTAGAGTACATCTTCACGGCGCCAGAGAGATGGCCCACCAAGCCAAGGCTCTGGCTGCTAAGACTTATCACCTTGGTTTGGTGGCTGGGACCTACAGAATAGGAGAGAACTGGTGCCTGCAATTTGCTCTTTTACCTCCACTCTCTTTCTTTCTCCAAATAAGCAAATCAATGCACAAATAAATATCACATCTTTATGGAATAAAGTCTCGTAGCATCCTGCCCTTCTTTAGCGCACTCATCTCAATTAAAAGGATTAGTTTGCACCTGGAGTCACAGCTGCTTTGGAGGCTGAGGCCTGAGGATGGTTTAAGTACAGAAGCCACAGGTAAGCCCAGGTAATATAGTCAGATATCTGTCTGTTTCAAAATAAAAAATGTGTGTGTGTGTGTGTGTGTGTGTGTGTGTGAGAGAGAGAGAGAGAGAGAGAGAGAGAGAGAGAGAGAGAGAATTTTTTGCTTGTTTAAGCAGATAAACAACTGTATTTGATTGGTACATATTTTCATGAATGAACAAAAAATTTTTCCATAGCTAAATGGAACGAGTCTTGAATGAAGTTAATGAACATACAGAACCAAATCATTTTAAGATACTAGAGTGGTGTTTGACTTTTTCGCAACCAAATTTTTTTTTTTTGGTTTTTTGAGACAGGGTTTCTCTGTAGCTTTGGTGCCTGTCCCGGAACTAGCTCTTGTAGACCAGGCTGGCCTCGAACTCCCAGAGATCCACCTGCCTCTGCCTCCCGAGTGCTGGGATTAAAGGCATGCGCCACCACCGCCCGGCCCACATTTTTTTTTGTGTGTGTGTAAAATGTTTTATTGTTCTTTAAAAAGGTTCAGGATTTGGCTTTAAATTAGGCTGCACACCTTTCAAAAGTCTGACATCTTTCCCCATGCCAAACTGGCTTCCGCTAGCAATACTACACTAAATCCAAAAGAAAAAAATCTTTAATTTTGAGGAAAAAAAGAGTCCAGTTCTGAGAACAATTAACATTAATCTTAATTAAAACTAAATGAGAGCTATTTTATGTTCTTTTATCCACCCTTCTCCTCACACAGAACCAGGAATGTAATTCTGTCTCAGGCAGGAAGTGATGCTGATGGACACTTGCATGCACACACCCTCCCAGGAGCACACGTGCTCGTGCACAAATGCACACGCCAAAGTTCTGAGCATGCCTAGTGGAAAAGGCTTTGCTGGTATTGATCAAAACCCCCGGAGTCAACAGTCAATCTAAACCCAGAGGGCAACATATTCTGATCTTGAGTGTATGTTAAAACAATCTATTGTCATGTTCTGAAATAAGAAAATTTTGGATTGTGTCATCATTTTCTACTTTAAATTCTAGAAACAATGTAAAAAAAAACCCATGATTTTTCATTTTCTGGAAGGCAGGAAGGATTCCACAGATATAAGTTGAGTTAAAAGCAGAACAATTCCAGCAACGGTAAAGAGTCAGCTCACAAAGCTGCCAGCATCTGAGGGACCAAATGAGATGCCGCCCATCCTACTGGCCTAGCCGATAGGAACAAGACAGGAAGTATATGGCTCTGCATAATAAATTCCCACTGGGACAAGATGATGCTAGGCATGCACTCAGGGCTTGGGCAGAGGGCACTGTCAGTAAGGAACATTTAGGTGAAGAGTTGCCAGAGTCCCTGGAGATGCTTCGCCACTAGCAACCACATTTTAAAAATAAATTCTAAGGCTGTAAACTGTTAAATTTTTGGAAGCTTTCAAGTGAGCATAGATATTTTGTATGACAAAGACAGTCTTCTAAATTCTAAGGCCAGAACTTGTATATGACAGGAATGCACCCTTGATTGGAAATAAACAAATGAATATGAATATTGTGGGTGGGAAGAGAATGTTTTTTTTAAAAAAATCTTTTTTGTTAGCATGATTGTGTGCAGTTCCCACAGAGGCCAGAAGGGGGTGTTAGATCCCTGCAATGGGAGTTGCAGGTAATTGTGAGGGGTCCTGTGGGTTCTGGAAATCCAACCTGGGTCCTCTGGAAGAGTAACTGCTGAGCCATCTCTCCAGCCTGTCTGTATGTACATTTAATGTAGAAACATCTCTGTGCCTGGGACAAGAGTACAAATAGTAGCTTGTGAGCTTTGTGTTTAAATATGTAAAATGTATGATTCATCTGTGTGAGGTGATATGCGCCTTTAATCCCAGCTACTTGGTGGGGAGGTGTCAAACAAAAGGATCCAAAGTTTAAGGCCAGTCCAGGCAGCCTGGTGAGACTGCCCACCCCACCCCAAAAAGAATTCATGGGTAGAGTACTTCTCTGTCATGCACTGAGATCGTAGATTCAATCTCCAATCCCTAGTACTTCCATTGAAACAAGTATAAATAATTTAAGGTAATGAGTATTAAATAAAACATGTTTTTAATTTTTCTGCATTTACACATACATACTTCATAGTAGTCTAGAAAGACTTGTTCAAATTTGGTGATTACATCGAGTCCTCAGGGTTCTGTCCAGAATGCGGTGATGTGGGGAAAGGCAGCTTTCAGATGAGGATCAGCCTCTCTTCCCACTTCAGACGCCATTTTGGTCTGTAAGGGACTATGTTCATACAAATATCCATCTCTGTCCTCAGCCTCCTGAAAGTCACCCTCTGGACTCAGGGTCCAGCCATAGAAGGGTAAGCCCAGGAAAAAGGCCAATGTGAGCCTAGAACCAGGAATGAACTCTTTGGACAGGAAATTTCTGGATACCTGGAGTGTGATTCTGAGGAACCAGAGAAAGGTTGGATGTTTTACACTATGGGGTGGGTTTAGTCTTAGAAAGACCAGCGTCGAGCTTCCAAATCAGAGAATACAGGTCAGAGGTCGCCTCTGCCTGGGACTAAAGCTGTGGTTCTCAACTTGCGAGCAGTGACCTCTTTGGGGGTCAAATAACCCTTTCACAGGGGTCACCTAATACTCCTGGAAAACACAGATATTTACACTACGATTCCTAACAGTAGCAAAATTAGACTTATGAGGTAACAACAAAGGTAATTTTATGGTTGGGGGTCACCACTTCATGAGGAACTGCAGTAAAGGGGTCGTGGCATCAGGAAGGCTGAGAACCACTGGATAAAGTTAGTGATGTGATTTCAGTTTCATCAGTCTCTAGGCTCCATGAAGGGTAGGCCAGCGGTAGCCTAGGTCACTGAGTATCCGTTATGCCTAGCAGAATAACTGGTGTCTAGCAAATATTTGTCAAATATATATGGGGTATGCTGGGAGATCTTTGGGCTTATTAGGAGAAAGAGAAGAGAAGAGAAGAGAAGAGAAGAGGAGAGGAGAGGAGAGGAGAGGAGAGGAGAGGAGAGGGGAGAGGAGGGGAGGGGAGGGGAGGGGAGGGGAGGGGAGAAGAGAAGAGAACTAGAGGTGACCTCAGGAGTGGCAGTGTGTGTACCTGTAACACCAGCACTCCAGAAGGTGATGCAGAGGGCTGTGACCTTGAGTAAGCCTGGGCTACATAGCAAAGTCAAAATCAAAATTAGGGGTGAGAACTGGTCTTTCAGGATTCTAATATTAACGTACAGAGCAGAGGAGGCGGGGGTGAGTGACATCCTAGAACGTTGTCTCCGTGTCATTCCTTCCTCCCTCCCTCCCTCCCTCCCTCCCTCCCTCCCTCCCTCCCTCCTTCCCTCCTTCCTTCCCTCCCTTTCTTTCCTTCTCCCTCCCTCCCTTCATTTTCTTTCTCTTTCTCTCTCTCTCTCTCTCTCTCTCTCTCTCTCTCTCTCTCTCTTTCTTTCGTTCTTTCTCTTCTCCTCCCCTCTCCTACTGTAGTTCAAGTTGGCCTTGAACTTACGATGCTCCTGTCTGGGTTTCCCCAGTTCTGTGTTTACAGGCATGTGTAACCTAACTTGCCTTCATTTTTTTTTTTTTTTTGGTAATAAGTGTTGGGGATTGAATGCACTCTACCACCGAGCACAGAGAACTCCGTCTTCTTTGTCCCTGGTCCTCCCTCTTTCTTCACATGTCCAGGAGTCTTTTAGGGTCATTATCTACTTCTTATTCTTCAAGTCCTCCCTGGTATGCTTGGCTGTTCTCTGCCTCCCGGGTTTCCACTAGTGAGCACGGTGCTTCTCTGAGCCTGGCCATCACATCCCAACACCTTTGCCCAGGGAGGGTCTGAAGCTGGAGGGGCTCTGCTTGCCTGAGCTTGTTTGGCCCTACTCCCTTCGCCCCTCAGCAGCTTAGCCCTCCCATGTCTTCTCTGAGTCCTCCTGTAAACAAGAGGATCAGGAGAGAGCCGACAGCTGCCTGGTGGGAGCAAGTGTCTGGCTAGCTCAGGGCAGGCATAAAAAGGGTCTGCACTCGATGCTGCCAAACCCTTTTCCTTTAGGGAAATTCTAGGCGCTCTTTCTTGGTTGTCCACTGCACAGCATTCCACGGGCATGTACGTGGGCTTCCTTGCTTTCATCATCCCTATTCCCATTGTGTGGCTGTTTCTGGGCTGTAAACTTCCTGTTTTTTTTTTCCTGAGAAAACAAGCAACAGGTCCAGGTGAAGAGTGGCAATCCTATTTGCACAGTGACAAGAGGCTGCACATAAGAGAGACCCAAGGGTGGGGAAGTCATGACAGATGACCTAGGTCTCTAGTCTATGTGGAGAAAACTTGGATTTCCAATGTCCTCCAAGGCTGGGCCTGGTGGCACGTGTCTTTATACCCTGCACTAGGGAAGCAGAGGCAGGTGGATCTCTGTGTGAGATCAAGGCCAGCCTGGTCCACAAAGCAAGTTCCAGGACAGTCAGGGCTGTTAACACAGAGAAACTCAATCTCTAAAAACAAATAAACCCCCAAAAGTCCTCCAAAGGCACATGAGTTTAAAACTTGTCACTATTGGATGGTGGTGAAAATTTCTAGTGGTGGGGCCTCGTGGGACAGCTTCTTGTCATGGGGTGTATCTGTGAGGAAGACAGGGCCCTAGCCCCTTCCTCTTTCGCATGAGTAGCCTTTAAGGTGTGTCATGCTCACTCTAGACAATAAACAATGGGGCCAAGTGTTCACAGATTGAAATCTCTATGGCAGCAAAACAATCCCTCCCCCGACCCCCGACTTTGTGTAACAGTCCTTGCTGTCCTGGAACTCACTCTGTAGATCAGGCTGGCCTCGAACTCACAGAGATCCTCCTGCTTCTGCCTCCTCCAGAGAACTGGGATTAATGGTGTGTGCCCCTACCACCCCAGCACAAACCTCTTTCCAATTAAAGTTGATTACTTTAGGTATTTATTGGAGCAACTGTCTGTTAGTTGTGTGTGTGTGTGTGTGTGTGTGTGTGTGTGTGTGTGTGTGTGTGTGTGTGAGACACCTAGGAAAAAAGGAAGGAGGAGAGATTTCCGTGGGCCAATGGTTTCAGTTTCAGTGGATGGTTACTATTGCTTTGGTCCAAAATCTAACATCATGGTGGAGAAATCTAATAACATCATGATGGAGAATATTGGTGAAGCCAATGGTGGGCAGTGAGGAGAAAGAGGGAGGGAGGGAGGGAGGGAGGGAGGGAGGGAGGGAGGGAGGGAGGGAGAAGATACAAGAGTGAACTAAGGAAAAGATATATCATTCACAGGCATATTTCTTCCATCTAGGCCCCACCTCCCAGCCGATTGTGTGTGAACTCCTCAACTGATAAACTCATTGAGAAGTTTAACACCCTCATCTGAATGCTTCTCAGTTGCACCCTTCTCTGGAAACAAGCCTTCAACACAGGGGCCTTTGGGGGTTTTTATATCCAAGCAGTGATGGAAAACTGATGTAGTACGGGTACACACACACACACACACACACACACACACACACACACACACAGAGAGAGAGAGAGAGAGAGAGAGAGAGAGAGAGAGAGAGAGAGAGAGAGANGAGGGAGAGAGAGAGAGAGAGAGAGAGAGAGGAGGGAGGGAGGGAGGGAGGGAGGGAGGGAGGGAGAGAGGGAGGGAGGGGGGAGAAGATGGGTTGAATGTAGGCATCTGTAGACCAGTGGTTCTTAAACGTTAGTGTGTGCCAGAATCGCTGGAAGGCTTATTAAATCACCGATGTCTATATCCTACTACAGAGTTTCTGATTCTGTGAGTTTGAGGTAAAGCCAGAGAATTGGTTTCTTCAAGTCCCCAAGAGATGCTGTTATTGCTGATCTGAGGACCATACTTTGGGAGCCATAGTCTTAAGTCATCTGCATCTCCTAGCTCTTTGGTAACGCCTAAGACTGGGACTAAGTTAATTGTTATAACTGAAGACTCTTGGAACTGACAGAGCCAAGACCTTACTCTGCATTGGGAAAGAAGATCTACTAACTAACTTTCTGGGTGTCCTCAGAAGGTGGGGGAATACCCTTTAATATCTAGAGTTTATTCTAGTACAGACCCTATTTAAACAGCTTCAGGCAGGTTTAAACATCTCCTTGGCTAAGTCTTAGTATCCCTGCTCCAGCTCCCACTGGGGGATGATAGCCCTAAGAGGTGTTAGGAGATTAGACTGAAAATGTAGGTCACATCCCAGCCATCTGGGAATCATAATGAGTGAGCAAGGAGGAGAGGGGGGGGGGACTGAGACCCACACAGGGAAAAGGTGAGAGGAAGCAGAGGGCTCCTGAGGGTCGTTAGTTACAGAAGCATACCTGATGAACATGTTGTGATTAGATTTCAGCCCTTCTTGGTGACCTGAGAAAAGACAAGGAGTCCGGCCCCGTTTTTTTCTGTCCCTTCTCTCAAGCTCTTCTTAGGGCTAGGTTTTCCAGAGTGGGATTCTTCGTGGAGAAAGTTGCTTATCTTTCTAATACAGTGTCTCTAAGAGCTATAAGGTTAGCCAGGGTGAAGGTGGGCGGGGGCTGGAATGAGAGGATGCTTGAAAAGAGAAAGCAGGACCCAGCAAGCCAGCCGAGAATGGGCGGGGATGGTGTATTGTGCAGAATCCTAAAAGATGGAGTTTGCCTGGACTATGACCAGCCCTAGGCTGACTGACCTGAGGTTATGTCATATGCATGGTGATACGCATATATAAGTGCGGCCACCAATAAGAAGCTTTCTTGGGGGGCAGATGCCCCTTTTCCTTTTTTGAGAACTGGTGGTACCTGCCCTTCACTGTCCTCAGCATCCCTGCCCCAGGCCAATGAGATATGCAAATAAGCTCTTTATCTCATTGGCTGAGGCTCCAAGGCTACAGATGATCTCAAAGAACTAGCTCTTTAAGAGAGCCCTTTGGGCTCTGTACCCATAGCCCCCTTGTTCTGAAGACAGGGGCGCCAGACCCTGCTCTATGGAGTCTCTAGTCTCTGGCAAAGCAGTGCCTTTCTGATTCTGACACCAACTACGTCATCTCTGCCCTTCCTAAAGTGAGTATGTCTGGTGACCTGGTGCTGGGCCTGCCCCCTAGAGCCCTACAGTCTGCTCTCCGTCCTATCTTATGTTCTCACTCTTCTGTACCTGCCCCATTCCTGCTCTGGCTGCTGCCATCTCAGAAAGATAAGCAACTGTCCCTGCTTAGTGTTTAATGTCTCCTGTCTCTCTGGACACCCCAGGCAGTGTCACGCCATCTTCTTTTTGCCAAAGGCTAGAGCTCCTTCTAGCACCCCTGTTTCCTCATGGTTGAGTGGTTCTGCAGAGGACATCTCTCCCCTGGAAAGGAAGAGAAGCCTTGTCTCCTTGTCCACCTTTCTGCTCAGTGTGGAATCTGAGATGTGGCTGAAGAAAAGAGGGAGTCAAGAGGCAGCTAGAGCCCAAGCCTGGGGGACAAGACTCTGAGCACGTCCACTTCTGGACCTAGGGAATTGGGGGCTGAACTAGAGCTGGGACGTCCACACTGGGACATGTGAACTAGTGAGGTAAACTAGCCGGAGCTGAACACAGAAGAGTTCCTCCGTGTTGGAGATTTGGCACACTCTGTTGAACCGCATTTGCTCAAGGACTTCTTGGGTTAACATACTTTCATGCTTGTGAATCTGCAAGAGATGGGGCTAAGAGGTAGCCTTCCCTAAAGTTACCTGTGTATAAATCTCTTCTAGGGCATGTCTCAGAATTAGTGTTCCACAGAACAGTCTTCAGGGAAGTTTTCAAAGCCTAATTGCCCACAGGGTCAGAAAGCGAAGGCAATCTGCTCAAACTCACATTAACATAGCGGGTTCTGAATCAAAGAAGATCTGCCCTCCTGGGTTCTCTTAGGAGGGATTGGCCTTGAGGAGAGAAGAGTGGCCACCTGGTCCAGATCTTTCTAGAACCTTTTCCCCATAGAAACCCTCTTAGAGAAGAAGAGGTTTGTCTGTTGACCCATAGAACAGATGTGTAAATAGACCCATAGAACAGATGTGTTCAGTGATACTGAAGGCTTTCAGAGATAAAGATAACAGCACAATGTTCTTAGGCCCTAAAATCCACAGCTTAGTGTGACACACACATACACACACAGCCACACCCAGAGAGACACATATACACACATACACAGCCACACAGCCACACAGCCACACACACACACACACACACACACACACACACGCACATTAATTAAGCCCACATTTTAATTGACTGTAAATGGAACTGTGCCTCTGGAGATGACAGAGCTCCTCAGCATGCCCCAGTACTGGGGTGCCGCCACGGAGCCCTGGAGCACCGCCATGCTGCTGTTTCTCACGGATGCCAGAGGCACGAAGGGGTGAGAGGCTGTGCTGACCATTTTGTCCTTCAGGTCTCCAGTTTCTTGTTGCCTGACAGGAGCCGCCTGGAAGCTGCTGTGCAGGGAGGACGGGCTGGCTGCATCACTACTCTGGAGTCCCAGTGCTCTAGTTTCAGGGCACTTGGGTCTGGGGGGAAGGAGGTATAGAGAGAGGGATGGCAGACACCCCTCAAACGGTTCGAACCTTTTCTTTTCCTTGCAGGAACACCTCTCTCAGCTCACTCCCAGAATGGCCCTTCCCCCGAGTCCCCTGGCTATGGAATATGTTAATGACTTTGACTTGATGAAGTTTGAAATAAAGCGGGAACCCCCAGAGGGCCGACCTGGGCTCCCCACAGCCTCACTGGGCTCCACACCTTACAGCTCGGTGCCTCCTTCACCCACCTTCAGTGAGCCGGGCATCGTGGGCAGCAGTGAGGGCCCCAGGCCAGGCCTAGAGGAGCTGTATTGGTTGGCCACTCTGCAGCAGCAGCTGGGGGCTGATGAGATGCTGGGGTTGAGTCCTGATGAGGCTGTGGAGCTGCTTCAGAACCAGGGCCCAGTCCCTGTAGAAGGGCCCCATGGCTACTATTCAGGGAGCCCAGGAGAAACAGGAGCCCAGCATGCCCAGGTAAGTGACCAACAGGTTGGTCGGAGGGGAGGAAGAAGTAGGGAAGGAGGCAATCAAGAGAGCGAGAATTCCTGGAGAGGGTTGTTTTCCTCTGGAAAAAGACAGAGGAAGGTCCTTGAGAAAACTACATCGATTTTTCACAATGGAAGAGAATAGTTGAATTACAGAGAGAAGATAAGGAAGAAGCCACAAGATCCCAGTACTCTGGAGGCAGACTCAGTCAGATTTCTGTGAGTTAGGAGCCAGCTTGGTTCAATAAATGTGTTCCAGGTTAGCTACACTACACAGAGAGACCCCGTCAAAAAACAAAACAAAACAAAAGATTAGAAGGGGCCTCAAAGGGAAAAGGGATTAGAGTTTAAGAGCGTGGTGGGGGATGAGCGATTATGTAGAAGCAAATAGATAAACGATGTGTGGAATCTAGCTGGGTAAAGGCTGTGGTTGAAGTTAGCTTTTTCATGGCTCCGTTTTTTCCCCCCAGCGCCTAACCTTCTCAGAAAGGATTGGGACTCATCCTATTAATTATAGACACAGATGGGGGTGTTGAGGGCATTAGGATGTAATCCAAATCCTTGAGGGTCACCGGGCTGTGCAGTTCAGGACAGGGAAACGTGTCTTCTGTGGCAAGGGCAGAGTCTGTTTGGGCGCGGGTCTCCCAGGACATTGCGGACAGTTGAAGGGTACGACCGGAGGCGCGATTGGCTCGCCAGAGTGCGGGGAGGAGGGGGGGAGGGGGCGGAGCTCACACTGCGACACTTGGAGGGGCCACAAGGCGGTGTGTGTGTGTGTGTGTGTGTGTGTACGCGCGTGTGCACGCGCGTGTAACCCTGGAGTCCAGGACGTGTCGGAACTTGGGGTGGGGTCTATAGGAAGAGCGAGCATGCAGTAGGTGAAAGTGCATGCTCCCTGGAATCCCAAGGATTCCCTGACTGGTGTGGGGACTCGAGTGTCTAGCCGGGTGGGACCTGCACCGATCTGGTCCCTGCACTCTTCCTCCGCAGCTGCCCGAGAGATTTTCGGACGCGGCGCTGGTCTCGATGTCTGTGCGCGAGCTGAACCGGCAGCTGCGGGGCTGCGGGCGCGACGAGGCTCTGAGGCTGAAGCAGAGGCGCCGCACGCTCAAGAACCGCGGCTACGCTCAGGCCTGTCGCTCCAAGCGGCTGCAGCAGCGGCGCGGGCTGGAGGCCGAGCGTGCCCGCTTGGCCGCCCAGCTGGACGCACTGCGGGCCGAGGTGACCCGACTCGCTCGCGAGCGCGACCTCTACAAGGCCCGCTGTGACCGACTGACCTCCAGCGGCCCTGGGTCCGACGACCACGCTCACCTCTTCCTCTGAGCCTCTAGGGCAGGGGGTGTGGCGGTTTGGAGGTGTCTGGGTAGGTGGCACTATACAGAGTATACCACTCACTAAATCGCTACCTGAGGTCCTGTGTGTCGGTACAAATGTTCCCAAACTACTGATCCTCGTGGCATGCCTGAGCTTAGATGCTTGCCCTTTCCTGGAGATGAGACCCCTTCCCTTTTGCAGGCCACGACTTTTCATGATTAGGGCACTGAATTCTGCAGGGGCTAGTGCGCATGCGGAGGGTGAAGGTGTGGAGGGTGGGTGGGTGGCGTGCTCAATAGGAGGAGAGGGAGGGGTGCAGCGCCCTCCTTCAGTCTAGCTTTTAATTCAAGGTTTTCAACCTGTAATGCGTTGATGCTGTAATTAACAATGAAGCCGCATTTTAACTGATGCTCGGCACTCCCCTTTTGAGGACTTGAATCTTGAATTTTCAAGATTTCAGTTTCTTCAAACAGAGTAGTAGATCAACTCAAGATGATTTTTCCTGCTCAAGCCAGTGACCTTTAGAATCCAAAGCAGCAGAGTAAACACCCTGGTTGGGAGCCTGGAGACCTGGGCAGTGGTCTCAACTGTGTCGCAGGCTGTATGTCTGTTACCTTAAGCAAAGCAGTTGCCATGGGATTTCAGTTACTTCATCTAACTTTCATTTGGATTGGATGGCTTCTGACACTGTTTTAGTTTTGGCATCTTCTACAGTGAGCAAGTCTAAATGGTCTCCCGAAGAGGCTTCAAGATAACGGGACCAGAAGGACATCCTGTTCAGCCTCCAGGGTATAGCTCAGGCGCTAGATACACAGCATGGCTTCTCTGGAAATTCTCATTTGTGCCGGCTCTCTGTGGCTCCCTCTAGGCTGCCTCAGGCCTTCCAACTGCAGAGGGTGCCCCTGCTACCTCTTGCCTTTCAGAGCTGAAGTGTGACCTCACAGGATAACCAGGAGCCGAGAGAGGGTGGCTTTTGTGAATTAAACCTGAAGCCCAGGAAAACTAATGTTGTTGGTTAAAAGTTCTTGCAACTTAAAAAGAGTCAATTCTCCATCACTGCTTCAGCTACCGGCCTGGGAGGAGGGAGACAGAATAGTGAGGTGGGAGGGTCTGGGGGAGTCTGTTGTATCTCAGTGGTAGATTGCTTGTCTCATTTGTGCAGAGAGAGACCCTTCCCGGAGTTGAGCAGTGTACTCCTCTCAGTTCTAGAGTGCGGACGACTGTGGATTGGAGGGGGTGGGGAGTGGTCCAGATGGAGCCTCGCCCACCACCAACCACCACCGCAACCAAAGTCCTGGAGCAGCAGTGGCCCTAGCTAGGCCCGTCTGTGGCTGTCCTCCAGGTCTCACAGTTGCTATGGCAACCCAGCCCTCCAGTTCAGTAACATATGGGGAGGGCCTTTGGGCAGAACAGAGGCTTTGAGCTGGGAGTGTCCACCTCATCAGCCACTGTCATCTGTCTTCCAAGGGGCATAATAAATGGGAGAAGCAGTCCTGCGTGGGGGACATGGCTCCCATATGTCCTTCTTCCTTTCTGCCCCCACTACCCACCCCCTGACCAGCTGTCTCTTCTCTTCCCATCACATTTCTTGTTCGCACCGTCCCCTCCTCTAGCCTAGCTCATCCTTCGGCTATGCAGGAGACTGAAAGCGCAGTCCTTGCCGGCAGACCCCTGCTCATTCCTTTCCCTTGCCTGCCCTTTGGCCAGCGGCCTTCCTCTTTAGCTTGGGTTCCTCCCTATGAGAACTCTCAGCATCTTCCTCTTCAACATTCATTGTTGCAGGGAGAGGCTGGGGCAGAGGGAGCTCACCTAGGATCTCAATTCTTCTTCCTTTACACTGTGTTCCCTTTTTCTTTTTTTTTTTTTTTAACTATGTAGCCCAGGCTAGCCTCAAACTCATAATCCTTTTTCCTTCCTTCCTTTGTTCGTTCCTTCCTTCTTTCCTTCCTTCCTTTCTTCCTTTTTTGAGACAGGGTCCCACTGTGCAGCCCTAGCTGGCCTGGAACCCACTTTGTAGATCAACTAAGACTTGCCTGCTTCACCTGGTGTGCTGGGTGCTGGGATTAAAGGTGTGTACCACCACCCCTGGCTGTGCTGGGATTAAAGGTGTGCACCATCATCCCTGGCCGTGCCCTCACTTTCCGAGTGCTAGGGTTGCAGGCAGGTGGCACATCTCCTACCTTTCCCTTACTCTGAACTTCATTTGTGTCCTCATCCGTCCTTTGGAGCTTCAGTCCAGGCCATTGGCTCTCTTGCAACCCCTCCTTATTTGCACGCCACACAAGGGCAGAGACACTGTCCTCAGACGCTTATGCCCACAAACCAGCATGCATCTACGAGGTCTCAATGTGGCATGTCTAGACCCTGTGGCTAGCTGAGGTACAGTAGTGATGATATGTGTGGGTGTTGTGGCTAGGCAGCTCCAGTTCTGGCTCTTCTGACCTTGAAGCGTTAAAAATCAAGCCTTACTTGCTTCCTCGGATAGATGGAGAAATACCGCTCTGGCTTGCTATCACAATACACATTGAAAGAAGCCAAGTGTAATATGTTAAAGAACAATACTGGCTGCGGTTGCCATGTTAGCAGTAAGAGCACCCAACTGGACTTCCTCAATGTGTGGTGCACGGAGCACACATGGGAAACCAGGCCTTGCAGGCTTCAGTGTCCTCTCTGTGCCCCCCACTATTAGCAGACCTGCTGCACCCCCTCACCGCTCCACCATCCCTCCAGGGCCTGCCCTGCAGCTGTGTGGGGGCTGGGGCTCAGCCCCTGGGGTACTCAGCGGGGCCTCTCTGGAGACAGATCTAAGAAAGCATCAGCCTGCCCTCTTGACAGCCCCTCATTACCCTCCCCCATCTCCTGCAATTAACGCCCATGGTGCTTAGACCCCCTGGGCTTGGGAGGTGAGAGTAGGGGCTCCTTAGATCCCACTGGCACACAGTTGGGGGTTGCAGAGACAACAGCATGCTTGGGGAGCTCTGGCTCAGATTTGGAAGGAGATTGGGCCCTCTTTTCTATGGTATATGTGGGAGTGATGGATTCTCCAACGAGCATCTGAGGCTGGAATACTGGGGTAGATCCCTTTATTAACACCCATAAAGCCACAATCACTGAAGGAAGTTATTGAGGGTCCACAGAGTTGAGGGGTTTGGGGCTTGAAGAGATGGCAGCAGGGCCCACCACTCACTTCCAAGACTCACAGGGCACCACTGGTCCAAGAGGCAGAGACGCTGGTCACCGGAGTCACAAGGGTCAGCACAGGCACCTGAGAGGTGCAGGATAGTCAAAAGCATTACGCCAGCCACAGCAGCCAAGATGGGTCGTTCAGAGGCGCCACTCCGGACCCATTTTGCATCCTCCTTTTGATCCCCAAGAACTTACTGAAGGAATGAGGGGGCGTTGGCTTGTGGAGGGGCAATCACGGGCTGGGACTGGGGCTCACAGCCGGTGTGGAGGGTCTGGGAGCTCCTGGACTGATCCCTTGGCTGGCGTAGTACTCCACTACCTGCCGTGGTACCTCTGCCAGGACACACTTAGCCAGGGCAGAGGGAGCAGCCTGCGGAGGGAAGGAGACTGGTTAGGGGCAGGAGAGTGGGAGCAGCTGAGTCAAATGAGTGACTGGTGGGGCTTCAGAGTGGCGTGCTGGATGCTAGTGATCTTCAAAGGACATCAAGAGGATGAGAAAGACAGATTTGGGCCAGGTGGTGGCGGTGCATGCCATTAATCCCAGCATTTGGGAGGCAGAGGCAGGCAGACCTCTGTGGGTTTGAGTTGAGGCCAGCCTGGTCTACAGAATGAGTTCCAGGACAGCTAGGGCTGTTACACAGAGAAACCCTGTCTTGAAAAACAACAAAACTAAAACCAAAACAAAACAACAAAAAAAAGGAAAAAGAAAAAAAAAAGAAAAGTAAAATAGAAAGACAGATTTGGGGAGCATGAATTGCTGAGAAGCCTTTTCTCACTGGAGGAGAGTACCAAATACTCACATCCTTGAAGTCCCTGAAGGGCACAAACTGGACGATGTCACGGGCTGCAGGTACCCCTTTTGGGCAACGCAGGGGACCATCATCTCCATCCAGTAGCCTCATGTCAGAGAAGTCAGCGTTGCCCACACCCACAATAATGATGGACATGGGCAGGCGGGAGGCTCGCACAATGGCCGCTCGGGTCTCGGCCATGTCACTCACCACACCGTCAGTAAGCACCAGCAGTACCGAGTACTTCTGGGAGTGAGCAAAAGGGAAACATGGCTTGATTCTGTAGGAAAGGGCTCCGATGCTCTTTCCAAACGCAGGTCCTGACCCTGCAGGGCAGCACCTGCTTATCTGTTTTGCTTCCTCACCGTGGCTTGGCCAGTGCTCTGCTCCCGCTGGGCTGGCTCAGCCACGCGGTTGATGATGGGGGCCACGTTGGTAGGACCATAGAGCTGGATCTGAGGCAAGCAACGGCGGTAGGAGGCAATAACCCCTGAGATCTCTGTAGGCAAAGAAAAGAGGTGAAGCTGGCAGAGTCAGCAGGGGCTCCAGGCACTTTAGAGTGAGTAAGTGAGTGAGAGAGAGAGAGAGAGAGAGAGAGAGAGAGAGAGAGAGAGAGAGAGAGAGAGTTAGATGGTCCTTGGGGCCAGGAGAGGTAGGTGGGCGTGATACCGGGCCATAGCGCTCTTCCCAAATGAAGACAGGCTTTGGATGGGAGGAAGGGATGGGTCTGGGAGCTGAATGTTCAGGGGTAGAGTCTGTGGTCCTGAGGAGGTCACAAGCATCTGTAGTGGCGCAGGGTGATGTAACTTCCCCTAGCTTACCTTCACATTCAGGATTTTCTGGGTCAAAGTTGATGGCAAAGTCATGGGACACCTGTAAGAGTGAGGCAAGGCAGTGAAGGAGCATCTCCTTTCTGTCTCCCCTGCCACCTTTCTGTCTCTTGTACCCAGCCTACCTCAAAGTTTGGGGGAATTCGAGCTCCAAAGCCGAAAGCTGGGAACCGCTTATCACTGGAGAGAGGAGAAAGCTGTGAAGGTCCTGGGCAAGGCCTCCCTTCCTGATCCACACCCCGCTCCCTTCCCATTACCTGTCATAGTCCTGGCAGATGCCTCCCACTGTGCGCAGGGCCTGCAGGTAGTGATTGGGCTGTCGGGGGCTAAGGCAGTGCAGGGATTGGCTGCTCCTTGGGTCCCCATTGGAGGCAGTGAAGTCGATGGCCACCTGGGAGAAGGTGGGGAACGGTCATGCTGTAGCCATGAGAACCAG